AGAAGATAAAGTGTCGGGACAAATTTTTTTTTTTCATTTTATAGTACATAAAATAAGCTTTAATTTGATATATGTTTAAAGGACGCAGTATTTCCGGAACATTTTCAAAAATTAAGTTGAAAAAGTTAGTTTTTGTAAAAAAGTTGCAATTTTAAATCCCCCCCCATGAGCAGGTTAAGTGTTAAATTTTCAAAAAAATTATATCAAATGAAAGGAAAATATCTAAGGTTTTAGTTTAAAAAAAAATTATGTTGATTTGTTGATTTTTGAAAAAGTTATGGAAGTTTTAAGAAAAAAAAGTGAAAAAAATGACAAAATTTGTCGATTTTTAAATTTGTAATTTTTTTGGATATTTCCCCCATTTGCGGGGAACGAGGGAAAATTTTTAAATTTTTAAGGGTAATGTCTTCAACTAGATACAATTTGTGATCTTTTGACGTATTGTTAAAAGAAATCGGTCCAGTGAGAGCTGAGAAAAAGTAGTGACAGACAAAAAAAAAAAAAAAATAAAAAAATAAAAAAAAAAGTAAACACATCATGGTAAAATTAATACCTTCTCAGCTTCGCATCGAAGCTAATACAATGACCCTATCACCAAAATCAATAATTCGGGTAATAACCTCAGGTTATTTTTTAAATAAAAATGTTATTTAAATAGGTTATTACATTGAAAAATTAACTTTTAGTAAATTCGCTCTTTAATACCAAAACGTTCAAAGCAGAATTACAAATATCTTTTAAGATATTTTTAACTTTTCGCTATAGACATAGGCATAAATTTAAGAAAAAACTAAACATAGGAGCTAATTGATTATCCTCATTCTAAAAAAATATTATATATAAAAATACATGTAATTCTCTATTGAAACTTAGGGAAGACTTCGATCTTAGGCCACACTTTCCCTAATTTATATCTACACGAAAAAACTATACAGTTGAGCCGATCCAAATTATGGTTAATATAGTAACAATTTAATTATATAGTGAGAAGAATTATATTATATAGTTGAACCAAGTATATTATTAAGTTGGAAGATAGTTCTTCCAGTTATATAATTATTTATTTTATTTACTGATTTTTGAGATATTGCTTAAATATTTTTTTTCTTTTTAACTAGATAAGCTTTAGTTCTGTCGATGCTGCATTTAATTTAAAATTAATTAATGAAGGGGTTTCAAAAGATGATTTAGCTGCTATAGAACTACTATTGATGCCCATACGTATAATTTTACCATTTATCATAACAAAATTTACTTCAGCTTCTAAACCTTTGGAGAATTATCTCATATCAATGTTATTTCGGTATGTATAAAACTTATAATTAGTAGTGATTTTATTTCATTTCTATTTTAGATTAGTAGTTGGTGCTGCTAGTACAGCCGTCATATATATTACTCCATATTTCTTGAGTCAAAATGAAAATTATACTTTGATTTATAAAATTATATTGTTTACTGTTTATTTTTTACACGAGGTATGAAAAAAGAGTGTTTATTATTTTAAATGATAAGTAATTAATAATAAATGTATATTTATTTTTAAACTTTTCTCTGTTAATTTTTACTGTTTAGTTGATAGTATGCGTAATGATAGTAAATATTATGGCTTTCTACGCTCGAATAAGTGATCCAAAAATTGGAGGTACTAATATGACTCTGTTAAGTACAATTGGAAATCTAGGAACTTCTTGGTCAAAAACTTGTGCTATATGGTTGATCGATTTTTTTACTTATAAACAATGTTCAAATGATGATTCTAATAAATGCTTTTATAGATATGATACAAATGTGAGTTTAAAGCAAATATGATTGAAAAAAAAAACCCAGCACAGGAGGATGGCGGCACAGTGGTAACGTGGCATATTTGGATCAAGTATAATGATATCTGATAGTGATTAAAATCACTATCATAAAAAACGCTTCATGTATATCTTTAGATAGTGTTTAAATTTAAAAAATTGGTGGATTACTCCAAAAGCTACATGATCTGCTAGTTCCTTATTAATATCCTGATTAAGATAAAGAATGTCGAATGAAAAAGGGATATAAATATTATTTCTCATAAAAAAATTTTGTTGATCCATACACTTTTCAATAAGTTATAGTATTTTAAGGAAAAATAGTAAAATATATAATCGAGAATTTAACACAAAAATAGCATTCGGTAGCCATTTTCACAGTGAAAATAAATAAGTCCAAATTTTTTTTTCCCATGATAAAGTGTATTACATTAGATTTTATTTAAGATATAAATAAAAGTGTCAGTATATCCGGTTCACTTAAAAAAAATAATTTTTTGTGAAAAACTTGTCATTTTGATCTCCTTTTGTAGGCAGGTAATGGGACAAATTTATTTTAAAAAAAATAGGTAAAACCTGATGTATCTATAAAAACAAATGTATTGATCCATACATTTTTCAAAATTGAAAAAGTGTCAAAAATTAGCGATATTTAAATTAGTCATTTTTTTTGAGATTTCCCCTATTTATAGGGAATTTGAGATATATATAAAAGTGTCAGACTTTCCGGAACATTTTCAAAAGTCAAGTTGAAAATATTAATTTTTTGTAAAATAAGTTGTCCTTTTAATCCCCCTCTGTGGGCAAGTAAAGAGTCAGATTTATAAAAAAAATATACCAAATGAAAGGTAACGATATCATGCATCTATATAAAAAAAATTATATTGATTTGGTTATTTTTAAAAAAGTTATGGCAATTTTAAGTAAAAAAAATTGTAAAAATTAGCGATTTTTAAATTTGTAATTTTTTTGGAGATTTCCCCCATTTACGGGGAACGAGGGAAAATTTTTCAATTTTTGAAGATAATGACTTTGACTTGATACGATTTGTGATCTTTTGACGTATCGTTGAACGAAATCGGTTTGGTGAGAGCTGAGAAAAAGTGGTAACAGACACAAAAAAAAACACATCATAGTAAAATTAATACCTTCTCAGCTTCGCATCGAAGCTAAAATATAATAATAATTAATAATTTCAAACCTTTAAATAATTTAAAACACTTGTCATGTGAGTAATTTTTGTGTTAAAATTCTCGATTTTATATTTTACATTTTTAACTTTATAGTTCTATAATTTGTTGAAAAATGTATGGATGAATACAATTTTTTTATGAGAAATAATATTTATATCCCTCTTTCATTCGACATACTTTATCTTAATCAGGATATAAATAAGGAAATATCAGATCATGTAGCTTTTGTAATAATCCACCAATTTCTTAAAATTAAACACTATTTACAGATTCACATGAAGCGTTTTTTATGATAGTGATTTTAATCACTGTCAGATATCATCTATGCTTATTCCAACTATGCCACTTCCCTATTATACCATGACTCCACTGTGCTTGAATTCTTTAATGTTATATGAGCATTAAAAATTGTTGAAATCAAATATAAATAATTTTAATATTTGATTGAAATGAATTGTGGGATTTTCATTGGAAATTTAGGAATATAGGGAATTTATCTACTTTTATTCTTCCTTCAGAGTTTAAAAAATATTTTATCGGTACTAAATTAATCATCTACTACTCTAACAATAAATATAGTTGTCTAACAATGTTTTTTGGGGGTAAGCAGAGACAGTAAGTCTCTCTAACACTAACTGCACCTAAAGACTTAATTTACAATATTAATTTTCAATATCATTTATAAAATTATATTAGCTAAAAATAATAGTTTTTTATATTTCTTTTGGTTTTTTGAGTAAAATATTTTTTAGTTTAAGTTAATATTTTAAATATATTTTGAGTTTTAAATTTAATTATCCAGAAATGATTAATTTTTATTTTTATTTTATTATATTAGCTAACTTAAAAAATAATTATACTTAAATTACAGATTTATAATTCAAATTGAAATTAAATAGTTGAGTATACAGAATGTTCAGCAAATAAGGATATGGGTTACTATTGTTCTTATTGTTTGTAACCATTTACATGTATCCCTTACTTACTGAAAATCCTGTATATATTTAACATAATAAAAATATTTTTTTGAATGATTTACTAAATTGATACAAATTAAATATACCCATGATACATAAATAATTATTAACAAAATTTTAAATTGAGCAAAACAAAATTATCAAATTGTTTTTAATTATTGTCATAATCATAAATATTAATACTAATATTAATATTAATACATATTAATAAATTTTTACTTTAGATTTGTACAAAATCAGGTGGGACTTGTAGAATTTCTGTAGATGGTTTTTATATTGAAGCATTAATATGTACAATATATGGAATATTATGGTTTTTTTTCTTTAGAAAACCTATAAAGAAGCTACAGTCAAAACCAATAAATGAATGGCATGTCAATAAGTAGAAAAATTTTATATTTCTTATTTTTAGGTTTATTTGTAATTTATACTTGCATAAAATATTAAATGTAATTTTTAAAATTTTGTTAATTGTTAAAATTGAGTTTCTATATTTTACCTTGAGACTAATGAATTATGTATAAGAATAAAACTATTTTTATGTTTTTTTGTTATGTTTATTATTTCATTAAAACAATAGTATTCAAATTAAGTGTACCTTCCACAACTAATCTTTTGACTCAAAAGTCTTCAGGTTTACTCACTTTTCAGTACAGATTTTTATATCATGTTTTTTTTTCAATATATCATGTGTGTTAGATTAATAATTTATTAGTCAGTTCTAGGATGTGTTTAAATATTTTCATTTCTATTTTTTCAAATTTGGTAAGATGATTTTTGTGAGTTAATTGGAAATTATCACAATTAATAGCATCGAGTAGTCTGCAATTTAATTATCATTGACTCAATATTATAATAATGTATTAAATCATTTTTATATAAAATAAATTATTTATTCAATTTATCTAAGACCTTTAAGTCATCATATAGCATAACCTACACCCAAAGAAAAACCTCAATCAAAATTGAAAGAGAAATTTTATTAAGGGTTTATATTAATGTTTTATTAATACGAACAAAATAACTATTCTTATAAATAATTATTGTTCAAGACAAGAAAAAAGAATATCATATTGATAAATATATCATTGATTCAATAGTAATGATATATTTATCAAATTGAACAATGAATTTATTATATAGATCGAGATTTTTCTCTGGGTGTATACTACTTAATTTAATAAGTAGCTTACGTAATATTTTAAGGAATCTATGTTTAAATAAAATAATGAGGAACAGAATTATATATTACTTAGTGCAAAATTTAGAAGGTCAATGCTACTTATGATTTAAATTTTTTTTGCTCAATATTTAAAAAAGTGAATATTAACATTAATGCAAATCTGAGAAGTTTTGCATCAATTTTACTTCCTTTTTTTTTATGTAATTGTTACTACAAGTTCTTAACACCTACTCGGCAGATTTGGTTCAACGATACATCAAAAGATCACAAATCTTATCTAATTGAAAATTTGATCCTCAAAATTAAAAAAAAATACATCCTTCGTTTCCATAAATAGGAGAAATCTTATAAAAAGTAAATTTTTTTGAAATTGTCAAATTTCGATTTTTTAAAAACTTTTTATACATAAAACTGACATAACATTTAAAAAATGAATTAATATCAAAACGATTTTTTTTATAAAAACCTTAGGTATTTATTTTTGGTTTTTTTTTTTTTTTTTGAAAATCAGACTACCATCTTAAGAGGTAATTCAAAATAACAAATTTTGTTTGAAAAGTTAATTTTTTCAACTTAATTTTTGAATTAATATCATGTACTGAATACAAGAATTCTTAACACCTTTAAATATATCATAAAGGTCATGTAATATATTGTATTTTAGAAAAAAAACCTTGGCCTCTGAACTTATATTCGTGGTGTAAATATTTAACGTATTCAAAATTCATACAATTTTATTTTTAAATGGTCGAATTATTTTTTTTTTAATTTAAAATGTATACCATTATAACACTTTAAAAAAGGTAAATATGAACGAAATGTTTTTTTAGAAATTTTCATTTTAAGATGTACCCTATCCGATAATTAATCTACTAAAAAAGAGTGTTTTATAAATTTATATATATATTTATTTTAAGTCATTAATATTTCAAGCAAATATAAGTAATGAAACTTTTTTTTTGCTTAAATGATGGCACCTCTACAATCCTAAATCCGATAATCTTGGCGTGTTTAAAAATATAGTGTTTCATATAAATAGTTGATCTAAAATTATTTGAAAAGAAAGGTTAAGTTTTCTAATAATCATAGTGAACAAAACTAGTAAAAAATGAAAAAAAATTGATCTTAATTTAAAACGAGCAGATAATATTGATTACACATTTTTTTCTTATCCTGATTTGCTATAACTTTAATTCTAGTATAATAGTAATACAAAATAAAATAAAATGTTTAAATCATATTGATTATTTACTTGCTTTACAAAGATTATTTTTTCAATTTACATTTTTATTCTTTTCATTATTAAAATATCTTATGATAGATTACTTAACAATAAAGTTATGTCTCATTAACTGGTTTCAACTTTTAAGTAATATTGTAATACTAAATTACTGTTAGTCTTTTATTTAAATGTACTTTAATCCAATGTAATTTAAACACTAGTACCATACTAATAAAGTAAATATAAAACGTAATAAGTGTAAAATAAATTTTTTTAGCATTTCTTTTAATACTATAATGTCAAATAATGTTCAAACTCATGTTGAAGATTCAAATCTTTCAAAACCAAACTTAAAAGGAGATTGGAATAATATTTTTCTATTAATTTTGCTTTATACACTTCAAGGTGTAGAGCTTGGTTTTTTATTAGCCATGCCAATTATTTTACAAAATCAAAAAAACACAACATACGAAGATCAGGTATAAAGTTAATTGCTTTTATTCTACATAAGTTACTAGCTAATACACGGATAAATTTTCTCGCCCATTAATTTTTTTTACTATATATATTCTAATATTTATTTTAGGCTCTATTTAGTATTTCTAATTGGCCATTTAGTATGAAATTAATGTGGGCTCCAATTGTTGACTCATTATACATAAAAAAATTTGGACGAAGGAAATCATGGTTGTTACCAGTTCAAACTTTATTAGGTAATTTATTTTAAAAACATAATATTCAAATTAAAGAAATTCAAATAAGATAATTTAAACAAAATTGTTTTACAAGTATATTGTATTATAAAGCTAGCTAATTTATTTTTTATTTTTTTGGGAATGATATTAATTTTATCATATAATTTTTAGGAACTATTCTTCTCTTCTCAGCATACAATATTAATGATTGGATATATAAAGATGATAGAGTTCATATACTTATTTTATCCGCTACTTTCTTCTTGACTAATCTTCTTGCGGCTACACAAGATGTTGCTGTTGATGGATGGGCATTGACGTTGTTAAAAAAGTAAATTTTAATATTTTTAACTTTACTATGAAATAATTTCATTATATACAGAGAAAATGTTGGTTATGCGTCAACGTGCAATTCAAGTGGCCATTCTATTGGAGGGTTTTTTGGCTTTGTATTAACAGTTCTTTTAAATTCTGAAAGATTTTGTAACAGCTATTTACGCTCTACGCCTATGAAAGGAGGAATTGTTTCCTTGGACAGTAATTTTAGATTAAATTAACTTTGTTTTAACGAATAAATGTATTCTTTTGTTTGTTTAGGTATACTTTATTTTTGGGGATTTGCTTTTATAATAGTTACTTCACTTATTGGCTTATTGAAAAGAGAAGTTTCAAGTTTGTCAGCCAAAGACGATACTGCCAGGTTAAATGTGTATCAAACCTATAAAATGTTATTTAATATTATTAAGTTACCTGGTATCATTACATTGATTTTTGCTCTTCTTATGTTCGAAGTAAACATAAAATTCTATTTAATTTTTATAAATTTCATTATTATTTGAGAATTTATTTTTTGTGGAAGTATCAAGAGTAATGAATATACGCAGTGGCCCATTTATCTTTCACACCGTTCTTAAAAAAATAAATTTACCTTCTTGTGCTTTATTAATATGGGAACTCCCGTCAAACTAAAAACGAATAGTATTACCTATATATTTTAAACAAAATTTCAACAAAAAATGAAACCATTTTATTTTAAATGGATTCTGTAAGTAGTAAAATAGTAAGACTATCAAAATAACTTTGTTTTTTCAAAATTAGCTAAATTTAGCTTTAATACGAAGCGAAAGAGATATTAATTTTATTATGCTATTTTTTATAATTTTTTTTTATGCGTATTATTTTGTATACTTAGTTTTGGATTAATATATCATCGATTAAATAAAAAACTATAAACAAATTTCCTTCAAAAATTGAAAAAGTTCTATATCAAAACAATTATAAACAATGATTTTTTTTAGGAAACCTAAACTTTAAATTACACACAAGTCTCTTGAATGTAAATCTGACATCCCAAAAATTTCAATCTAATGACGCTAACAATTACGAGTTCCCTTTAATTATAATTTATAGTATACAATTAAATACTGACACATAAAATCAAACGTATGTTAGGATTTTATTTTGTGTAGCAAATATCTTGACGTAATTCAATTGTAAAATTTTAACGTGCTACTTATTGTCCCTTATGATAAAAATAATAGTAATTTTATAATATTCAAATGTTTGTTTCTCATAATTCTTCTTTCGAGAATAAAAAAGTCTAAATTTTTATTTTTGGTATTAAGGCCATCAAAAATATTGAGTCGAGGCAATTTCCGCTAATGCCATCTATCAAATTTATTTCTGTATTTCTTCAAATTTACTTTTGACATATACAAATAAATTACATGAAACTGTGATGATTGTTTATAATATCATATATTTATAATAGGAGTGATAATTTCATAGGATTTAAGCATTACTTTCATTTGTTTATTATTATTTATTAATATTAATATTAATTGTAGATTGGTTTTACTGCAACTGACAATGTAACAACATTAAAGCTATTAGATGCAGGCCTACCCACTGAAAATTTGATGATGATTACTTTAGCATTTTATCCAGCTAAAATTTTAATTCCCGTAATAGTTTCAAAGTATACTTCGGGGCCAAAACCAATGAGTGCATTATTAAATGTATATCCTTTTAGGTAAGATTTACATTCAATTAAAAAATATATTTAAAAAAAGATTATTATTATATAATTTATTCTTATAATTATTTGTGTAATTATGTTATAAAATATTTTCATTTATCTTACTTTAAAAATAAAAATTTGGTAGTGCTTAAAGCATATACAAATTTAAAGATCTTATTTATTGTAGGGGAGACTGGAGCACATTTGAATGTGGGGTAGATTTGAATTGATTAATTAAAACTAGTTGTAGTTATAAATTAAAGTAAAATAAACACATCAAATGTTGAATACAGCATAACCAACCATTTGTATTTTACGTGAAGTTAATTAATAAGTACAACTAGTTTTATTTTATCAATTCAAATCTATCCCACATTCAAATGTGACTCAATCATCCCTAATATAATTTTATTTTAGAATGAGAGAAAAATAAAATCAGCCTTTTGAATATTTTACTTTTGTTGTGTCTTTGTTCCTATATCATTAGGTTTGTATTATTGTACTGTACCTTGATTAGAAAAAAAAAAGATTTTATTTAATTGCCTTGCTGCATAAGTTTCGCAACCACAATAGTATTTCTCGAGATAAGACTTTAAAATTTAAATAAGAAAAAAATTAACTATGATTTTTTTTCAGACTTTCTAGTGGAATATTTTGTGGCTTATTAGTATATGTCACGTCAAAATTGATTGGAAAAGATGAAAATGGTATATACGAAAGATCGATAATATATTACGCATTTTTGATTGTAACTATTTTTATTAAAGAGGTGAAGTAATAATTTTCATTACCAAGTTCACAACTAATTTAATGTACATTTAACAAATATAATGGAAAAATACTTACTTACTCATTATATTGACTCTTTAGTGAATATAAATCTTTACCTATTAATTTTTGCTCCTTAAAATATTTTATTTTATTATTTGATTAAAAATGATTATGTGTCATGCAATAATTCAAAAATATAAAAAAATAACTAATTTTTTTTGTAAAATTGTATGGGTTTTTAAATAATTTATTTTTTTACATAGTTTTTTTGATAGATGCTTGATGTATTTACCTATCATTTGGTATATTTTTTTTGTAAATCTGACACTTAACCTGCCCACAGGGGGGGATTTAAAATGACAACTTTTTCACAAAAAATTTACATTTTCAACATAACTTTTGAAAATGTTCCGGAANTCACAAAAAATTAACATTTTCAACATAACTTTTGAAAATGTTCCGGAAGGTCTGACACTTTTATATATATCTTAAATTAAAGCTAATGTAATGTACTTTAATTTGAAAAAAAAAAATTTGACCTCTGGACTTGTCTTCATGGTGAAAACGGCTACCGAATGCTATTTTTGTGTGAAAATTTTCGATTTTATAATTTACATTTTTTACTTTAAAGTGCTATAACTTTTTAAAAAATGTATGGATCAATACAATTTTTTCATGAGAAGTAGTATTTATATACATCTTTCATTGGATATACTTTTTTTTTAAATCAGACCTTTCTTCTGCCCACAGGGGGGGATTTAAAATGACAACTTTTTCACAACAAATTTACTTTTTCAACATAACTTTTGAAAATGTTCCGGAAGGTCTGACACTTTTATATATATCTTAAATTAAAGCTTATGTAATATACTTTAATTTGAAAAAAAAAAATTTGACCTCTGGACTTGTCTTCGTGGTGAAAGTTGACATCAAAGTTAATAAAAAATTACGATTTTTGTAAAATAATTTTTTTTTATATTTTTAACTTAATAATGCTCTAACTTTTTCAAAAATGAACATATCAATATAATTTTTTTTTATATAGATGCTTGATGTCTTTACTTATCATTTGGTATATTTTTTTTGTAAATCTGACACTTAACCTGCCCACAGGGGGGGATTTAAAATGACAACTTTTTCACAAAAAATTTACTTTTTCAACATAACTTTTGAAAATGTTCCGGAAGGTCTGACACTTTTATATATATCTTAAATTAAAGCTAATGTAATATACTTTAATTTGAAAAAAAAAATTTGACCTCTGGACTTGTCTTCACGGTGAAAATGGCTACTGAATGCTATTTTCGTGTGAAAATTCTCGATTTTATTATTTATATTATATTTAACTTTATAATGCTATAACTTATTGAAAAGTTTATGGATCCACACAATTTTTTTTATGAGAAATAATATTTTTTAATAATCCATTTTTCAATCAGTATATTAATAAGGAACTAGCAGATCAAGTAGCTTTTGGAATAAAACACCAATTTTTTTAAAATTAAACACTATCTAAAGATTTGCATCGAAGCGTTTATTTTTGTTAGTGATTTTAATCACTGTCAGATATCATTTACTTGATCCAACTATGCCACGTCACCACTGTGCCGCGACCCCCCTGTGCTGGGTTTTTTTTAATTCAAACATACAAATTTATTTATTTTTAATAATAAAATATGACTAATCTATAACAACTTTTAAACCATTATTTTAAAAAATATTGTTGTTTATAAACGTTGACTTGAAGAGAAGCAAGGCACAGAATATCTAATAATAAAAATAATTTGACCCACGCCTCATATTCAACTTTTATTTTAAAATGATGATATTTTCAAAAATATTGGTCAAAAGTTGTTACTGACCAATCATTTTCCAATATTAAAAGTTTTATTAATTAAATGATCTTCTATGATGTGTGCCATATTAATATATAAATTGCTATTTAAAAAAATCAATGAATAATTGTTAAAGGGGTAAAATTTGTTTCTGTACTTAGTGTACAGAATATGTATTGTTTTATAAATTTTTGTAAAGAAAAAAATTATATTTTGTATTTTTAAAGATACAAAGAAATAATGATACATTCTCACCCTTAATCACTATTTTGACTATAATTTTTAGAATTAGTCTTAAATCTTAAGCGATTTAACTTTTTTTTTAACAGCTTCTAGCATATTACATATTTGTAGCTACGATGGGGTTTTTTGCAAAAATTAGTGATCCACGATTTGGAGGAACATATATGACAATGTTAAATACAGTTTCAAATATAGGAGCTTCTTGGACAGCCACGGCATCTTTGTGTATGGTCGATTGGCTTACTTTTAAAAGTTGTTCAAGTGATTCAAAAAATAATTGTTCAACGGAAGATCTTACAAAAGTTAAATACTTTTAAACTTTCTAAAATAAATTCTTTAACTTTAGACTTATATAATATTTTCTGGCTTGTAGAACTTCCGGAGGAAATTGTTCCATTGAACTTGATGGTTACTACCTTGAGTTAGTAATTTGCTTAGTTTTGGGAACTATGTGGTATTTATATTACAATAAAAAACTGAGAAATCTACAAATTAAAGGTTGTGATTATTGGTTGGTAAATACGGACAAGTTTCATTCAAACGAATTAAATTAATTCATTTACTGAACTTTAAATTTATATGCCTTATTTTTAAAATGTGTATTAAATTTATGTAAACAATAATGTATTTAAATATCATAAAGTAAATAAATCAATTTTTTTGGCTTTCTAATTGCTAAAAGAATAAAGATTATCTTAATAGTTGTGAATATATTTTTTCAATGAGTATTATATATTTAAGAAAATTTCATTTTACACGAAATAGCCAGTTACATAGTCTTGGAAATATATACGAGTTATTCATGGCCGTGTGTCTCTATTAATTTACTAAATTTTGTGAATATAAAGTATTATCAGTTTTATTTCACAAAAAATTGAAAAATTATACATTGCTATGCGCAAAAAATAAGGCTCCAATTCAAATTGTCGTTATTTTCATGATTACTGTGTATACATATGATGATAATGTGTATACATTACAAACTTGGCATTAATACCATGATAAGAAATTAGATAAGGCAATTATTACTTATCACTCTCATTCAAAAGTATATTGAAAAGATAGCGTTTTCTTCTGTCCTTTTCTCAATACGTATTTCAATGTTTAATACCGTAAAATAATACATGAAAATTCAAATTTTCACAAACTTCAAAACGCTACAGAATATTTACTACTGAATATTAATAAGATATTTTTTTACTAAAATTTTTCTTAAATTCTACTCTACAAAATAGCTATCTTAGATTTTTTTTTTACATTTTATTTAAAATTTAGAAATAATTAATATTTCTAATAAAATGTAAAAAAATTAATTATTGAGATAAAGGTATAGACCTAACGTATAATAATTATTTAAAAAAAAAATTATCTAAAAATATTAACTGGATCAAAAGTTATTTAAGTTGTCAGTGAATGGTGGGCCACTCTGTATATCATTACTATTGAAACTATGATATATTTATCAATATGATAGTTTTTTTTTCTTGTCTTGAACAATAATTATTTATAAGAATAATTATTTTGTTCGTATTAATAAAACATTATCATAAACCCTTGATAAAATTTCTCTATCAAAATTGATTGAGGTTTTTCTTTGGGTGTAAAAAATAAAATCACTATAACATTATAACGTGAATATTAATTTCTAAACAATAGACTTTGTGATAATAATTATCAAACTAAAATTAAAAACTATGATAATAAAAATTATCAAATAGGATTCCATTCAGTTATAAATAGGACGACGAATTACAATGTAATAAAAGTCAATTATTAGTAATTATTTGTTTAAGAATGTAGTGTCCGAATATGCAAACTATTTTCAAGTATTGTAATAAAAAAAAAAAAGGTAAATTAAACTTTATAAAATATAATAACCCAACTCAACCAATGATTTTTTTTTAAACATTTATTCTATTGGGAAGCTAATGATTTTTTGGACACCTTCAAAAATGTTTTCTTAATTACCAGAAAATGTCAGCCAACAATAATAACCTATATCGGTAAAGAATTTATACACCTACTTGTTTATTTCAATTATTATAAGATAATTAGAAGTGAAGAGAATAAAAATTATATCTTGTGATTTTTGAAAAATCACAAATGAATACATGTAAATGTGTGCATTATTATTTTATATCATAAAATTGTTAGTTAAAAATTTGTATAAATCTTCTTTATAACTTTTAAATAATTACGGTGATTTACTTTTATTAATTAAATAATTTGTCTTGTACATATAATGCATTGTTGTATTATTATATACAGAGTGAACAGTTTATCATAAACTACTCAATTACCCGTTATTGAAATAACTAATGGAAAAAATTGTTTAGTTTTTTTTAGCTTCAATGCGAAGCTGAGAAGGTATTAATTTTACCATGATGTGTTTTTTTTTTTTTTTTATGTCTGTTGCCACTTTTTCTCAGCTCTCACTGGACCGATTTCTTTCAACAATACGTCAAAAGATCACAAATCGTATCTAGTTGAAGACATTACCCTTAAAAATTTTAAAATTTTCCCTCGTTCCCCGCAAATGGGGGAAATATCCAAAAAAATTACAAATTTAAAAATAGGTAAATTTTGTCCTTTTTTTCACTTTTTTTTCTTAAAACTTCCATAACTTTTTCAAAAATAAACAAATCAACATAATTTTTTTTTATACTAAAACCTTAGATATTTCCCTTTCATTTGATATAACTTTTTTGAAAATCTAACACTTAACCTGCTCATGGGTGGGGATTTAAAATAGCAACTGTTTAACAAAAACTTACTTTTTCAACTTAATTTTTGAAAATGTTCCGGAAATACTGCGTCCTTTAAACATATATAAAATTAAAGCTAATTTTATGTGCTATAAAATGAAAAAAAAAAATTTGTCCCGACACTTTATCTTCTGCATGTAAACGGCTGCCGTAGTTAAAAAAACTAGTAATGGGAAATATCGAATAGAAACTATCGAACTATTCGATAGTCATTCAAAAAATATTCGAATAGTAAAAATATTCGATAGTTACACAATATATTCGAATAGTTTTTAAACTATATTAAATGATTCGATTATAGTTTTTAAATTTTGTCGTATTGTTTGAAATTAATCTAAACTTGAGGTGTTTGATTGAAATTTCAGAGTGGCTAATGTCCCATAGCATTCATTGAACATTTCCCCGTTTCATAAATAAATTTTGAACAAAATATTTGTGAGTAAGAGGTAAGATATTGAGGGACTTGACCAGTGTTCGAAACCAAAAATGATAGCAGAATTTTTAGGTGTATAACTGTATACACAGCATACCGCAAATAAAGATCATGTTCAGTAAATTTCTGTATATTAAAAGTACGCCTTCCTAAGAATCATTCCTATAATCAAATTCATGTAATTTCAAGAATTTATGGAACTCCCTGACAAAATTACATATTAGCAGAATGAAATACAACATAGCGGATATGAAATTGTGTGGAGACCGCTTTAAAAAAAAATCGGAATTTTAAAGCAGAAAAAACGTAAAATCTGTTCCAGGTGAAGCTATAATGAGTGGCTGGGATTTTAGTATATAGTAAATACCTATGTAAATGACTTTTTATATATCTAATGGACAAAAATAAAAACAATATTAATTTTAGGAATATATTTTTTTGCTCCATGATTTAATGCCAACTTTTGAAGCATACAGGAGGGGATTTAATATGAAAACTTTTTTACAAAAAATGTACTTTTTCAAATTACTAGGATATTTTCAATTTAATTTTTGAAAGTATTCCGGAAATACTGACACTTTTATATATATCTTAAATTAAAGCTTATGTAATACACTTTAATTTGAAAAAAAAAATTGACCTCTGGATTTGTCGTCATGGTAAAAATAACTACCGTATTCAAAAATTTGCTATTTTTGTGTTAAAATTCTGGGTTTTGTATTTTATTTTATTTTAAAATACCTGACAAGGGGAGTACAGATTTTCATAAATATTATATAAATAAAAAATTGATATAGCATAGAAATTTAAACTTATTTAAATTTGTTTGCTTCTTTTAAGTCGAGAAAATTAACTTTGAAATTTGAACTAGCTTAAATAGCCAATTTTTTCAACATACGGTTGCCGAGTTGGTAAAACTTATGTTTTACAAGCTTGAGGTACGAGGTTCCAACCAGCGTATGGCAATGAATTTTTTACATTTTTTCTTAATTCTTTTTAAGTTAGAATAAATTTTAACTGCTTTGATTTTTATCTCATTTAGATTCAATAACTTCAATAAAGATCAAGGATCCCATCACTTTAATCGCCCGTTGCAAAAATAAATTTCTTATTCGTATTAAAATTATTTTACTATATTTTAAATTTTAGCTTCGATGCAAAGCTGAGAAGATATTTTTTTGTGACTATTATTTATTTTCTCTGCTCTAACTTGACCTACTTTTTTCAATGATACGTCAAATGACTACAATTCGTATCTAGTTGAACATATTACCCTCAAAAATTGAAAAAAAATTCTAATTTATCAATTAAACAGTTACTTATCCCATGTTCTTCATACAGACAATTAAAATCATTCATTTCTAATGCTTTCAAAGTATTTATTGACGAATTAAGTTTGATATGATAGGTTTCAACTACAAAATTAAATCATTTTACTTTGTAATTTAATAATTTTTTTACTCTATTTGTGTGTGCTACTACTAGGCTATAATATTATAAATTTTTTGGTAACATTTTGCTATATAAATCATTTCTAAAAAAAATGATTGTTAGTTTCTCCTGAATCAATAATGGATTTTTACAATTATAATCAAATTTTATTATACGCTCAATTGAGTAAATCTTTTTAACAACTTTGTTTTGATTGGTTCATTTAGTTAAAGTAAATCATTAAAATTAATTAAGTTCTGAATATTTCAATTGCAGAATCTTTTCAAACACCAAAAGTTACTAGGAAATGATTATTATTATTTCTATTTAAATTATATACTACGATAAAATTGCAAAAAAAAATTTTGAGCTTTTCTGATAAATTTACAATAAATAGTAATTATAAAACTTTCTGACTGCAAATTAATCTTAACGATACAATTTTTTTAATTGTCATAAAATTTTCTATTTAATTATGTCAATGTCAAACTTACCAATTGANAATTTTCTATTTAATGACATCAATTTCAAACTTGCCAATTGAGCTAAAAGTTATGGTAAAATAAATTGTTTTTTTTTATTATAAATATTTACAAAAATCAACTATAAACGATTAAAAAAAATAGGTTAAATATGTCATTTTCCTTATTTTTAACATATTAGTAATCAAAATCAGTATTAATTTAAAACAATTTTTTTTTCTCAATTTTTTGTTTTTTTATATGTAAATACTATTTTTTAATAATATTAAAATTTAGAAGTGATAGAAAAAGTCTAATTGCAGATTTAAAAACAACGCGAAAAGTTTATTTAGAAAAGTATATTTTTGATTCTAATGAAAGTTCCTTGTAGGGCAGTTCATTTATTTATAGTAACAAACAGTTTTTATTGAAAATTATTGTATCAAGCCCTTTAAATTTTTATACACGTAAAAGTAAAGCAAAATATAACTTCTTTATTATTTTTATAATTTCTCCGTTTAAATTACAATATTAAATTATTGAATATCAATTTCATACTAATTTTAACAATTATAATAAGTATTTATTTATATATTATATTTTAAAATCAATGAACTACTAATTAGATCTTATATTTTTTCATTTAAACAAATATTTTTCGAGTTACATTTAATTTGAGTACTAAAATTTATATTCCATTTTTTTCATTTTACGGTTACTTTTTATCATGTTATACTTACATTAGACACAATGTTATAAATGCATATGTGTGTATGTGTGAGTTTATTTATTTATTGTATCATAAAAATGTAGTGTATATTAATATACAACCGATAGAGTAGGTAATTTATTTGACGCTATACTGTTTAAACCCAACTAAACGCTAAATTGTACATTCCCAAACAACAATCATATTATGTCAATTGCCACCGGAATTTCTGGTAATCTTTTTCTTTTTCTTTGCCTTAATCCCAACTACTTGGGGTCGGCCATCCTTATCCTAAGCTTCCACTTGACACGGTCTCCCACATAATCTACGCTCACATTACCTGTCCTCATATCGCATTCAATAGCATCCCTCCATCTCTTTTTTTGGGCTTCCTCTACCTCTTCTTCCTTCAACATTCATTTCTATAACTGTTCTTACAGCTTCCAATTCTTCTTTCCTCATAACATGACTAAACAATCTATGTCTATTTTCTCTCATCTTATCCACGATTGACGCTATACCTATACTCCCTATTATATGCTCATTTTTTATCCTATCTTCTCTAGTTACTCCACTCATCCATCTAAGCATTGTCATCTCTGCTCTACTTTCTTATAAACCGCCCAACACTCTGAACCCTACATCATAACTGGCCTCACAACTTCATACTAAATTTAAATACTACACCCAGAGAAAAACCTCGATCTATATAATAAATTCATTGTTCAATTTGATAAATATATCATTACTATTGAATCTATGATATATTTATCAATATGATGATTTTTTTTCTTGTCTTGAACAATAATTATTCATAAGAATAATTATTTTGTTCGTATTAATAAAACATTATCATAAACCCTTGATAAAATTTCTCTATCAAAATTGATTGAGGTTTTTCTTTGGGTGTATAATTAGTATTTATTCATATATTATATTTTACAATAAAAGAGCTACTAATCAGGATATAATTAAAGAAATAAGAGTTGATGTTGCTTTTGGAATAATCCACCAATTTCTATAATGAAACACTATCTACAGATTTGTATCGAAGCGTTTCTTATGATAGTGATTTTAATCACTGTCAGATATCATCTATACTTGTCCCATCTATGCCTCGTCTACACTGTGCCTCGACCCCACTGTGCTACCGTTTTTTATTTTATTATAATCCAATATGATGGATAATAATGCTATTAGTAATAAAAAATTATATTTTTATATCTTAGTGAAGTATTTTTTTTACTATGTTGTTTTAATTAAATTTATACAATAGACAAGATATATGATAATTGTGATAAAATTATTAATAATTATTATATAATAATATGAGATATAATACACATAGTTCTATAATGATATGACCAATTTCAGACTTTTTATTGTCGATGATAGAAATTTATTGAAGATATCTACTTTTACATTCAATTCTTCGATACTTAGTGTTTACTATGTAGTGAAGAATAAGTAGATAAATAAACCATCTATTTCACAGTAAATTTATGAAGTTTTACATCTAAGCTTTTGTTGTGACAGTCAACTTTTTTGAAACCCAAATCTTCATAACATGATTTGTAAACATTTTCACAAAAAGTGTTAAAAAATTTACACGCTTTATGATAAACTTGGATTGGCCATTGAAAATTTGAAATTTCTATTGAACTTACTGAACTCTTAAAATCATATATTAGTTGAAACATTTCATAAAAAGATTTTTTCATTAAACAACGGGATTTCATGTATCCCAAATCACTATATAACTCAATACGAAGGGCATCACGAAACTTTAAAAAAACTATTAATAGTCTTTTAACTAGTTCTATTTTTTTTATATCAAGTAGGTCGTCATTATAAACTTGAGAAAACTCATTGTTATTTAATAAATTGATAATGTCTGCAACCCATTTTAATATTTTCTGTAAGATTGAATAAGAGCTGTAGCTAACACTCCATATTGATGATTTATTTAGAGTAATTAATGATTTATATAATCCTTCAACCATTAACTTAGATTTGTTGAATGACTTAAATAATTCAATCAAACATTTGTAGTAGAAATCATATGCAACTGTATTGCATATATGCAATATACTAGATAACAGAACGCAATAGTTTTTCATTATTTCTGTATATCTACATCTTAACAATTGTGTTACATGCTCCTTTTTTATTCGAAAATTCATGTGATTAATTTCACCTTTTAATATAAAATCTACGTTGAGTTGTTTACCATTATAAATTATATATATGTGATCCATTTTTTTCCAACCAGTTTCCTGACGAAGAATATTGAGAGCTTGCATTCCATCATTTTGAACTAGTGATGAATCTATTGGAGGCATGAGTCTATATAAAACAAAAATACTTTGAGTATTACTTAAATGTATAGATTTATAATAATATTATACAATATTATTAATGAGATAGTTGTTTACTGTCATTCAGTTTAATCTTGTAAACATTAGTAAAAATATAGTATTCTTATTAAAATATTAAAAATATATATATTTTTTTGTAATAACATTAATAAATCACTATTTTATTATTTTATAGTATTATTTTCATAATTTTCAATGGGCTTATTAAAAATTTTAGAAATCGAAATGGATAAATTTTATTACACACGAGGCTAAGTAGATATATATACATAAGAACACACATAATAAACAATTATAAATATAAATAACCACTAAAAATATTTAAAGTTAAATTAAATTTTATCGTTGCGAAATCTTATTAGATATAAATGTAATACAATTAATGTTTAAATAAACTGTAATAAAGATTTACTATATTCATATTTCATAAGATTTATTTTTATACAAGCTATTGAATATTTACCATACATTTTACAAAGTGATTACTTAATTTATGCTTTAAATGTAAACTTATTATATTTAAAAAATATATATTTGCAGTAATTTATATTCAAATATAAAATTAGATTTTAAATTAAATTGTAAGAATTCTTACTGTAGTGTTTTGGGGTTAAGATGTTCTAAACAATTACTAAAATATTATCTTTGCACAATATTATTAAAATGAACTATTTTAATAGATATTATTAAATATTGAATTATTATTTTATATAAAAATAAACAAAACAAATTTCTTGTATTCAATTGTAAGATTAAAATATAAAAATATTTTAAATTTAGTCATACTTACTCAGGTGTATTAGGGTTAAGAAATTGTTCAAAGCCAAGCTTTCTGTACCAAATTTCTATAGTTTCATCGTAAAATGAATTAAGTTTACTACATGTTAAATACACTAAGTAAGAGTCGTTTTCATTATAGCATTCTTTAATTTGAATTGTTGTCGAATTGATATTTATAGAAGTGTCGATGATATTACTATTTTTTAAGAGTTTGTTTACTTTTTCTGATGCTTCTGAATAAAATTCATTCAAATTCTTAAATTTCTTCTTTGACTCTTTAAGATTTGGTAAGCTATTGAGATCAAAAGGACTAGTCTCTAATATTTGTTGTAAGACATATTGTTGAAAAAAATCGATTTCTTCAATTATAGGATTGGTTACGATGCTTCCATTAAACAAAAATTTTACGTCTATGTAGCTTATAAACATCATAGCATTGTAAAGATTTTCAAACATAGTCTTAGAATTTTTTACTTCTTCTGTAAGCAACGTTACACAATATATAAAATTTTTTGATAAATTTCTATTTTGAAATTCCTTACATTTAAAGATAATAAAATTTATATATTCGAGAAAGTTTTTTAGTATATCTGTGTACTTGTAATTGAGTACATTTATTGTATTAGAATAGTTATCTTTGAAATCATTTATGTACAGATCTGGTTGGAAAACTTCCAATATATTTATAGTGTTATTTGAATCTTGTATTAGTTTTAGATTTAGCATTTCATTTGATCCAATTTGTGAATGTAAGTGAGACACTACTCTTTTAATGTAATTTCTATAATCCTTACGATAATCATTACAATGTACTTTTTCATTTAGTTTTATAACAAAAAGGATAACAATTGTTGTAATGAACAAAAAGTATTCCATTATTAATGAAATACAAAAAAAAATTAACTCATTTGAATCTAAGGGAATTTCAATTTGAACTTATTCCAATGTGTTCATTATTATTTTATATCATAAATTTATTGGTAAAAAATGTGTATAAAAATATAAATCTATTTTTTTACGAATGTATTAGAATCACAGTGATTTATTGTTATTTTTTAAATAATTTTTAATGAGACATGTAAACTATTTTTAACTTCCTTATGTTATAGTATACAGGGTGATTGGCTAACAATGTCTCACGTAATATCTTTAAAAATACAAGTGTTATAAATAATTTTTTCTTTTAATCATTATGGATCTTTGATGAGATGTTTCCCAAAAAAATATAAATTTCTACCATCATCCCTTATGCTTAATACTTGTATCAACCTCATATTTTCAAATAGGATCTCTATCTTTTTTTATGCCATTAGATTTAGTTTAATAAAAAAAAAATATTTTATTTTATTTAATATTAAGGGCTACTAATATGGCTCTCTAAAGTTTGGGGTTTATTAAGAAAAAATCATGACAAACTCGAACGTTGTAGATCGTAAATCCATAAGTGCTATCAGTTTTAAGTAATAGACTAGCTGCATTGTCAAACTAAATCGATAGCTTTTATCGCTACATAAAATAATGTGACCGTGTTGGAAAAACTACAGCATTTTTTCTTCAAATAACGTAAATTTTAAAATAGCATATCTTGTTTAAAATTCATAATTTTTTATTTTTATTTTATAACGAACAAAAATATATAAAAATAATATGGGTTGCCATTTGAAAATCTGAAGTTGATACAAGTTCTAAGTATAAGGGATGATGATATAAATTTAATTTTTCTTGTGAAACAACTAATCAAAGATCAATAATGATTAAAAAAAACGGTAGCAGAGTGGGGTCACGGCATAGTATGGACGTGGCATAGTTGAGACAAGTATAGATAATATCTGACAGTGATTAAAATCACTATCATAAGAAACGCTTCGATGCAAATCTGTAGATAGTGTTTAATTTTAAAAAATTGGTAGATTATTTCAAAAGCAACAATAACTCTTATTTCCTTAATTTTTTCCCGATTAGTTATTTGATTTATTATTATAATATATGAATAAATAATAATTATAATAATTAAATTTAGTATGAAATTGATATTCAATAATTTAATATTGTAATTTTTACGGAGATATTATAAAAATAATAAAGTCGTAGTATATTTCTTTACTTTTAACGCGTATAAAAATTTAAAATTTAAATAGCTTGACGCAATACTTTACAATAAAAAATGTTTGTTACTTATAATAAAGTTATAAGTTTTATACACTGGACTACAAGGAACATTCATCAGAAACAACTATGTACTTTTCTAAATCAACTTTTTAGATGTTTTCAAATATGCGATTAAACTTTTTCTATCACTTCTAAGTTAAATACACGTTAAGTGTATTTTTTTTTTTATTCTCATTATTTATCGAAACGAAGTATGATTTAAAATGAACATTTATTAATGTATGTATTATTATTTATTATTTATAATCATTTATTTTTAATTTTCAAATAATTTTTTACAGTATATATGAATTGTTTTATTACCTATAATATATTGTTTTACTATAATATACAGAAAGATATTATACATCAGAATCAGTGTAACAAAACTATATCTAAAAATGTTATTATTAAAATCAGGAAAATTCAAAAAGAGAATATAGTAAAATGTATTGGATATAAGGTTGACGCTTCTTAATGAGGTATTCCCTTTAGGCCTATTCAAAAATTATTTTAGGAGGGTATTTAATATTTTAGCTTCGATGCGAAGCTGAGAAAGTATTGGTTTTACTAAGATGTGTTTTTTTTTTTTTTTGTCTGTTACCACTTTTTCTCAGCTCTCACCGAACCGATTTCTTTTAATGATACGTCAAAAGATAACAAATCGTATCTAGTCGAAGACATTACCCTCAAAAATTGAAAAAAATCCCTCGTTCCCCGTAAATGGGGGAAACCTCCAAAAAAATTACAAATTTAAAAATCGCTAATTTTCGAAATTTTTTCAATTTTTTTTACTAAAAACTGCCGTAACTTTTTCAAAAATGAACATATCAATATAATTTTTTTTTATATAGATGCTTGATGTCTTCACCTATCATTTGGTATATTTTTTTTGTAAATTTGATCCTTTATCTACCCACAGGGGGGTTTTAAAAAGACAACTTTTTCACAAAAAATTAACTTTTTCAACTTAACTTTTGAAAATGTTCCGGAAGGTCTGACACTTTTATATATATCTTAAATTAAAGCTNAAGGTCTGACACTTTTATATGTATCTTAAATTAAAGCTAATGTAATGTACTTTATTATGATTAAAAAAAATTTCGGACTTTATTTTATCTTCATGATGAAAATGGCTACCGAATGCTATTTTCGTGTGAAAATTTTCGATTTTGTATTTTACATTTTTAACTTTAAAGTGCTATAACTTTTTGAAAAATGTATGGATCAACACAATTTTTTCATGAGAAGTTATTAATAACGAACTAGCAGATCATGTTGCTTTTGGAATAATCCACCTATTTTTTAAAATTAAACACTATCTAAAGATTTGCATCGAAGCGTTTTTTATGATAGTGATTTTAATCACTGTCAGATATCATTATACTTGATCCAAATATGTCACGTAACCACTGTGCCGCGACCCCCCTGTGCTGGGTTTTTTTTATTTTTTTTTATTAACTTTGATGACTGTTTTCACCATGAAAACAAAATAAAGTCTGAATTTTTTTTTTTATATTTAAGTATATTAAATAAGCTTTAATTTAAGATATATATAAAAGTGTCAGACTTTCCGGAACATTTTAAAAATTTAAGTTGAAAAAGTAAATTTTTTGTGAAAAAGTTGTCATTTTGAATCCCCACATGTAGGCAGGTAAAAAGTCAGATTTATAAAAAAAAATACCAAATGATAGGTAAAGATATCAAGCATCTATAAAAAAAAAATTATATTGATATGTTCATTTTTGAAAAAGTTACGGCAGTTTTTTACTTTGTTAAACATGTTATAGAAATTTTTTTGTTAAAATTAAAGTAATGATGAAAAAAAGGACATTAGGTCCGTATATATTAGAAGTTGCCTAAAAAAATATTGATAGCGCTGGTTCAAGGAGGGCCCATAACTCCAAATACACCCCTGTTATACACAAAAATTATTAATAATCTATTTATAACAATTGTGTTTATATTATAGAATAATTTAAAAAAAATTTAGCAGGTTATTATACGTGGCACATTGTAAAAAATTTAATTTATCATAGATGAATCCCAATTCAAACGATAAACTCATAGACTCATACATCATAAAAAAAAAAACTGTACTGTTCTGATAATGAAAGTACAAACTTTTATAATTATAACTCTCTTGAAATTTATAAATAACATATAATATTCCTCGATAAAATATAGTGTTATATGCATAGGCGTCATTTGGGGGTGGCAAGGGGGGGCAGTTGCCACCCCTGAATTTCTGGACCCAGTATTTTGCCACCCCAGAATTTTGAAGTAAAACTTAATTATTTCCAATTATCTAATTAAAAAATATTCTATACATGAAAGATTCTTGTCAATAATAAAAATGATAATAATGCGTATGCGTATCAGTCCTGTGTTCGCGTATGTAGTAGGGCGATGGTTAGCTGGCACGGCTGCGGGGAAACACCTGAGTGATGACACCGCGACTGTGTCGTAATATTGTTATTGGATATAAATATATTATGTACATATGTACAAAAAATGTTTACAGAAATAGTACCCTTATCAACGTCGCGACAACATTAACAAGCTATACTAGTTCCCTAGAAAGATTATCGGTTATTTCCATCTTAAATGGTATAGCCACTATTTTTGCTATTGAGCAGAGTTAGTTGCTAGAGTAGCTTTATGCCAGTTTTTTATTTTTGTGATCAAAGACATGGTAAGTTTATAAAATTAATTTTACAGGTTTAATTAGTTATGTATAAGTACGGTATTTTAGTTCTTTATCGTATTATTCACTATTGTCAGAGCCGGCTTGGTAAAATCGGGGCAACGTGCAAAATATTTTTGCGGGGCCTATTTAGTGGTTGAAATTTTTTTAAGACCTTTTTTTTTTTTTGCTCGTCCCTCATCTGAACCGCTTTCAAGCCGGTCCTGGCTATTCTATCAAGTATTTTACATTAATAAAATTTTGTTTTGAAAGATTCTATACAACGAGTTTATATCAACTGTAATCAATCTGTTCCACACCATATAGCTACTAATTTTTCATAATAGGTATACTTATAGTCAGGCCCCCCACACGAATTTTTGAAGTACGATACTGTAAATAAAAACCGGGCCCTTATTATTTATTTAAAGACCTTTTTTTTTTTTTTCTTATTCATATTTCTGCCGGGAACTCAAAGAGGCCAGGGCCCCGGTTCCATGGTACCGACTGGCCCCCCCTTGTGGGGGTCCTGCTTATAGTATTAGAGTATAAGGGGATATGGGCCAAATTAAATGCAGATTCAAATAAAGCAGATCAAATTAAATAAAAATCTTTATCGATCCAAGCCTACACATTTTTTTTTATCCAGATGATTTTTTGATTTGAAATAGCTTGTGGTCTTAGTACACTAAAATTAGTTCTCAACGGATCAAAAAAATTATGCATGCCTTAAATCCACAAATAATTCATTAAATGTCAATTTGTATTTAAACCCATTAAAATTGATTATAACTGTTATCTTAGTGTTTTTTTGTTTCATAAACTTTTTTTATCACCTCAGAAAAAATTAATATTTAAAAAAGTTTTAAATGCATTTAATTCATTCTTTTTTCCAAAATACATTTAAGTTGTAATGCAAATAAGTACATTTAGAATTGAAGACCTTGATGCGATGTAGAGAAAACATTTTTAATTTTTATGAGTATATAAAAAAATGGTTGTTGAGGTGGCAGAATTAAGTATTCCGTGTATTGAATTGGATCCTAAATAGCTGTAGTATACAAAAAATTTACAAAAATTACAATAAAACCTTACTGTGTTTATCTTTAAGAAATAAAAACTCCTAATTGTCGTCCTCCTTGTGATCATAGGTCTCATATGAAATATGCGTTACACAAGCATATTCGTAATAGTGTGTTTTCTCTATTTTTTTTGTATGATATAACTTAATTATATTATTTAATTTCATAAATTCATTTCGGCCAACTGTATTAAAGAAAAAAGACCATTTTGCCAACAAAAATTATATTTTGGGAAGGGGCAAAATGCCACCTTGCCACTTCATTACTACACCTCCGCAAGCAATCAAACAAAACAATAAACCTATTCGCAAAAATTTATAAATTTGGAATTCAAAAAGAACCTTATTTTGCTATTTGTTTTTATAGTTTTCTCAGAAAAATAAAAAAGGACAAAGTTCGTTGCTGTCTTACTTTAGCTCAGACCCTGCGAGTAAGAAGAAACGGTTAGAAGATGAACCATTTGATGGAGTTGCTTTGGAACATCAACCAGAAGTAGAAGATGTATTAGGCTTATCAGTCGCTCTCTCAACCACAACTTCTAAGGGTAATTCTCCTTCAAATGAAATACAGAGGCTCAGGTCTTCCTCCAGTACAACTGACCAATTAATAATTGGTCCAATTAATAAACGAGATCCTACTCATGGACCAGGTATGGCCAAGACATATTTTAAGGAAGGTTCATTTCAACCACAGGATTTAAATTTCCCTCAAGTGGACGGTAGGAAATTTAGGCCAGAGTGGTATAAAATATTTTCTTGGCTGGAATACAGTATTTTAACAGATAAAGCGTTCTGTTTTGTCTGCCGTTTGTTTTACAACTCTGAAGAAAATAATGCAGAAGATGTATTTACCCTCACTGGATTTTCCAAATGGAAGAAAGCTGTAAACGCGTTTAAGAAACACGAGAATAGCAGCTCACATAGAATTAGTAACATTAAACTCAATTCTCTAAAAGAAGCAGACAAAAGTGGCACTGTTATAGAAAAAGTACATCAGCAGTATTCAGAAGAAGTAAAAGAAAACAGATTGTACCTAGAAGCTTTGTGTGAATCGCTGATATTTTGTGGTAGGCAATCTATTGCTTTGCGAGGTCATGACGAATCTACAGATTCGAAGAATAGAGGAAACTTTTTGGAGCTTATGAAGCTTCGTTCTATAGATAACTGTGTAATAAAAAAATTCTTCATGAATAATCAAAAAAAATTTCAGTATACCTCACCGACTTTCCAGAATGAGCTATTGTCAATTATTGGGGAACAAATTAAAATGCACATTGCCAAAGAAGTTAAAGAGGCAAAGATTTTTGCCATTATAGCAGATGAGACTCAAAACATAGCAAAACACGAACAAGTAGCTATTGTCTTAAGGTATGTTAATGACAAGTTAGAAATTCATGAGTCATTTGTAGGATTTTACCGTACTAAAAGAGCTGACGGCGTTTCACTGGCCAATGAACTGAAGAATGTTTTGATTTCGCTGGACTTGAACCTAAAATACCTACGTGCTCAGTGCTATGATGGCGCCTCAAACATGAGAGGCCCATATAAAGGAGTGGCAGCTATAATTATGCAAGAAGCTCCAATGGCAATGTACATTCACTGCAACGCACATATATTGAACTTGTGCATTGTAAGCTGTTGCACTCGTATTACTTCAATATGAAACACGTTCTTTGTACTTCAAAGTCTTTATAACTTCATTGCGAAATCAACTAAACGACATGCTGTTTTTGAAGAAATTCAAAAAACTTTTCAAAGCCATGATGGTGGAACAGTAACATTAAAATCTTTAAGTGACACTCGATGGGCTTGTCGTGTCGAAGCCGTACGCTCTCTACTAGATAATTTTGATGCCACTCTTGCAACTTTACGGGAGATTTCCGAAAAAGACAATGATAGTGGTGGACAAGCCAATGCGTTATTGAAAAATATTGAGGACTTTAACTTTGTATTTGACCTTTTATTGCTCAAAAGAGTTCTATCCCAATGTGATGTACTGTCAAAAACACTTCAGTCAAGTAGTGTGACTTATGAAATTGTGAAATCTGTAAAAAACAGCACTCTTGATGTATTAAAATCCTTCAGAACACATGAATTTTTCACAAAGTTGTTTGATCACTGCACAGACATCACTGACAAGTGCGGGTTTAAAACCGCCCAACTGCCAAGAAATAGCCGAATTCCACTAAAAATTGGTGGAGGAAGTAAAACCCCATTTGAATCTGTAGAGCAGTACTACAAAGTATCAATCCTTTGGCCAGTTATTGATATCCTAATCGAGGAGATAGAGGCTAGACTTCAAGAAAACATCCTAGATGTACTTAACCACTTAAGTGGAGTTCTAGGTGGAACCGATGTAGACACAGCCTCTGTGCAATATGTGTCTAAATATTATAATTTAGACAACGAACTTCTTCTATCTGAACTTAGATGTTTCCTTAAAATGGAAGAATCAAGAAACATATCAATTCAAGAAAGAGCTGACGTTTTTGTTCATAAATCTTTGAAAAATGTGTTTCCTATGCTTTTTGAACTTTTTCGTTTGTTTTTCACGATTCCAATGAACTCGGCTTCATGTGAAAGGTCTTTTTCATGCTTGCGTCGATTGAAAACATACACCAGAAGTACAGTTGGACAGGATAGATTATCATCTTTGGCTCTTTTAGCCATCGAAAGGAATGTAAAAGTAAACATTTCTAAAGTTATTGATGATTTTGATTTAAACCGAAATAGAAGACTTCATTTTGTATGAAAATGAATATAAACATTGATTATTATTAAAAGTTTTTTTATATTTACTTAATTTCTCTCTTTTATAATTCAATGGGTTAAATAAGGTTTAGCTAGTAAGGTAAGTGATTAAAAAATATTGTTTTAAGGTAATTATGGCCTTCCATATATGGGAGTTAGTTTAACAAATGTTATTTTTGTAAAAAAAAAAAGGTCATTTAGGCTAATTAAATTTGCCACCCCAGATAAAATATTGAAATGACGCCTATGGTTATATGCAAATGCAAAATAGTGTCATAATAAAAATACATATTACACCATATAATTAAGGTTCATAATAAACGTATGAGCAGAAATGAATCACTGTGCATATTAAACCATGCGCGTAGACTTAAAAAAAAAAAGCTCGTAAAATGGTGAAAAATTAATGGATTAAATTAATTTTTTTATCATACCTCAGGAATGTCATTGGGCGGGTCTAATGAAAATTTCAAACCATAAGTCGTAAAACAAAGCGAGCGTTTTTCTCAAAAACGGTCGAAATTTTAAAACACTCGGGGGCGAGTGGCAAAATTTTCCGACCTTCGCCAATAATTTTTCCGGAGTCTGTTGACTGAGTACTTTCGTCGAAAAAAAAAAATTNTTTCCGGAGTCTGTTGACTGAGTACTTTCGTCGAAAAAAAAAAATTTGAAAATCCGAGCACGCTAAGTAATTTTTCCAGAAAAGCGCTTTTTTCCTTGTTCTATTATATGTAGATAATAATGTAATAAAAAATGACTAGTCGAGACAAATGTTGGACCCGTTTTTTATAAACTGTTTATATTTTTATACCAAGACGAGTGGAGGACTGAGACTAAGAAACGTCTGGTGGTTATAATAACAGTATTCACTCCTCACCTCCTATCATTCCTTTAAATTTAAAGTAACTTTTGAAATACTGGTCCAAAAGTTGTTATAAGCCAACAATTGAGAAACAATTACATATTTTTCTTTTTCAATAGCTAGTTAAATACGTATGATGCCATTTAAAAAGTTAACGCTTCTTTAAGTTTTAAGGGCTGAAAATAATAAATAGCAGATAATTGGACATACATATATAACTAACAATAGCAAAAAAAAACTCACAAAAAAATTAATATTTTAAGAGAAATTGAGTGGCTAGCATTAAAAGAATTACTCTGTATATATTGCTAATAATTTAGTGGTGTATGATGAACGAATTACTGTGTATGTAAATTGTTGCCGCCTAGGCTGTTCTAGAAAATCCCAAATAAATATGGAGAACAGAAGTTCGCCGTACGGCTTAAAATAGGGGCAACTTTTAATCAACAAAAATTTCTTAATCAATTTAAAATTTGTTAAATGAAAAATATTTTTTGTTTATCCAAAATAGGATTGTTTAACTCAATAAATATAACGAAATAATTCAAATAACAACAACCAATTTTTTATTATTGCTGAATTAAATAATTAATAAATATGATAATCCATACTACTTACATTTAGTTATGCTCCATATGAATAAAATGAATATATAGTAGTAATACAATACCCGAAGTTTTATTGTAATAATGTATCAGCCAATGTAAAAGAAAAAAAAATGAAAACAACTGTATGCCTTTAGAAAATAATATGGATAATGTATTTTGACATAAAACTTGAACAACGTATTTTTTTATCTTACAATAATACAAAAAAAAAATAACACTTAACTAACAAGCCAATTTAACCTAACACTGTATAATTTTACAACAGGTACATACACTACATTTTGAATAAAAAACGACCGAACAACACGGGCCGCTGATAAGGCGTCCTAACAGCTGATAGCGCACAATCACTACCAGCTGACCACACCCAACCAGTGCAGCTCTCACACTTGGCGCGAACATAAATATCCTATAATATTTTGACAAATTTGATCTTTAAAAAATGTATTTAACACATAAGTTCGCTTACAAGAATATTTTAAATTATATTATGGTATTTAATATTATAAAAAAAAACAATTTTTTAATTTTGAATCGTATTATAATATTTTATATAATGAGATTTAATAATTAACTTTAAATAATTTTAAATTAAAATTTTTTGTATAAATAAATGTAAAGAATGGTTAACTAAAATTTTTATTTATTAGTATAATATTAATTTTTTATTAATTCTGCTCTCTGATTAAACATAAACGCTGTTTTTTAATTTAAAAATTTTTTTGAACATCCTGTAAACATTATAGTTAATTTTGTGTAAATATTTTAGCTTCGATGCGAAGCTGAGAAGGTATTAATTTTACTATGATGTGTTTTTTTATTTTTTTTTTTTATTTTTTTATTTTTTTTTTTGTGTCTGTGAACGCTCAATCTCAGCTCTCGCTGGACCGATTTTGATGAACAATATGTCAAAAGATCACAAATCGTATCTAGTCGAAGACATTACCCTCAAAAATTGAAAAAAATTCCCTCGTTCCCCGTAAACGGGGGAAATCCCCCAAAAAATTACAAATTTAAAAATCGCTAATTTTCGATATTTTTTCAATTTTTTTTACTTAAAATTGCCATAACTTTTTTAAAAATGATCGAATCAATATAATTTTTTTTTTTATAGATACCTTAGATAATTACCTATCATTTTATATATTTTTGTGAACATTTGACCCTTTAACAGCCCAAAGGATGGGGTTTCAAAATGGTAACTTTTTTACAAAAAATTAACTTTTTCAACTTAACTTTTGAAAATGTTCCGGAAAGACTGACAATTTTATATATACCTTAAATTAAAGCTAATGTAATATACTTTAATTTGAAAAAAAAAAATTTGACCTCTGGACTTGTCTTCATGGTGAAAATGACTACCGTATGCAAAAATATGCTATTTTTGTGAAAAAATTCTTGATATTATATTTTACATTTTTTAACATTATGTTGCTATAACTTTTTAAAAAATGCATGAATCAACTTTATTCTTTAATGATAAATACTTTATATATACTTCTTTCATTCGACATACTTTTTTTTAAAATCGGACCATTTCCCTTTATACAGGGGGGGTGCAAACCTTTTAAAATGCGTATAGAAAGTAGAACTTTTTCAACTTAACTTTTGAAAATGTTCCGGAAAGACTGACACTTTTATATATATCTTAAATTAAAGCTTATGTAATATACTTTAATTTGAAAAAAAAAAATTTGACCTCTGGACTTGTCTTCGTGGTGAAAACGGACATCAAAGTTAAAGAAAAACGTACGATTTCCGTGAAAAAAATCTCGATTTTATATGTTATATTATTTAATTTATATTTTATATAACTTTTGGAAAAATGTATGGATCAATATTATTATTTTTTTATAATAAATATTTATATACCCCTTTCATCTGGCACGCTTTTTTTGTAAATCGGATCATACCCCTTTAACAAGGGGGGTCAAAACTTTAAACATGCGTATTGTTACTAAGATATTTTCAATTTAATTTTTGAAAGTATTCCGGAAATACTGACACTTTTATATATAAAAAAAAGCTTAAATTAAAGCTAATGTAATATACTTGAATTTGAAAAAAAAAGATTGACCTCTGGACTTGTCTTCATTATAAAAATGACTACCGTATTCAAAAATTTGCTATTTTTGTGTTAAAATTCTGGGTTTTGTATTTTATTTTATTTTAAAATACCTGACAAGGGGAGTACAGATTTTCATAAATATTATATAAATAAAAAATTAATATAGCATAGAAAGTTAAACTTATTTAAATTTGTTTGCTTCTTTTAAGTCGAGAAAAATAACTTTGAAATTTGAACTAGCTTAAATAGCCTATTTTTTCACCCGACGGTAGCGACGTACGGTTGCCGAGTTGGTAGAATTTATGTTTTACACGCTTGGGGTACGAGGTTCCAACCCGCGTATGGCAATGAATTTTTTGCATTTTTTCTTAATTCTTTTTAAGTTAGTATAAATTTTTAACTCGTTTGATTTTTATCACATTTAGATTCAATAACTTCAATAAAGATCAAGGATCCCATCACTTTAGTCGCCCCTTGCAAGAAGAAATTTCTTATTCGTATTAAAATTATTTTACTATATTTTAAGTTTTCGCTTCGATGCAAAGCTGAGAAGATATTTTTTTGTGACTATCATTTATTTTCTCTGCTCTAACTTGACCTACTTTTTTCAACAATACGTCAAATTACTACAATTCGTATCTAGTTGAAGATATTACTCTCAAAAATTGAAAAAAAAATTCTAATTTATCAATTAAACAGTTAGTTATTACATCGTCTCCATAAAGACAATTAAAATCATTAATTTCTAATGTTTTCAAAATATTTATTAACGAATGAAGTTTGATATGATAGGTTTCAACTACAAAATTAAATCATTTTACTTTGTAATTTAATAATTTTATTACTCTGTTTGTGTGTGCTACTATTAGACTATAATATTCAAATTTTTTTCTAACGTGTTGCTATATAAATCATTTCTAAAAAAAATGATTGTTTTTTCTCCTGAATTAACAATTGATTTTTACAAATATAATCAAATTTTATAATAAACTCAATTGAGTAAATCTTTTTAACAACTTTGTTTTGATTGGTACATTTAGTTAAAGTAAATCATTAAAATTAATTAAGTTCTCAATATTTCAATTATAGAATCTTTTCAACAAACAACAAAAGTTCCTAGGAAATTATTACTATTACTTCTATTTAAGTTATCTATTACCATAAAAATGCAAAAAAATATTGAGCTTTTCTGATAAATTTACAATAAATAGTAATTATAAAACTTTCTGACTGCATATTGATCTTAACGATACAATTTTTTTAATTGTCATAAAATTTTCTATTTAATTATGTCAATGTCAAACTTACCAATTGAGCTAAAAGTTATGGTAAAATAAATTTTTTTTTTTTATTATAAACATTTACAACAATCAACTTTAAACGATTAACAAAATTGGTTAAATATGTCATTTTCCTTATTTTTAACTTATTAATAATCAAATTAATATTAAATATTATATCAAATCAGTATTAATTTAAAACAATTTTTTTTGTTCTTAATTATTTTTTTTTATATGTAAAAACTATTTTTTAATAATATTAAAACTTAGAAGTTATAGAAAAAGTCTAATTGCACATTTTAAAACATCGCGAAAAGTTGATTTAGAATAGTATATTTTTGTTTCTGATGGAAGTTCCTTGTAGTCCAGTGTATAAAACTTATAACTTTGTTAATTGTTATAACTTTATCAAAAATGACCAAATCAGTATATTTTTTTTTATTTAGATGCATGTCTTTATCTATCATTTGGTTTTTTTTATAAATCTAACCCTTTACCTGCCCACAAGAGGGATTCAAAATATTAACTTTTTTTTTTTTAGTTAAAGTAAATCATTAAAATTAATTCAGTTCTGGATATTTCAATAGTAGAATCTTTTTAAATATCAAAAATTACTTAGAAATGATTACTATGATTTCTATTTAAGTGTTCTATTACGATAAAAATGCAAAAAATAATGAGTTTTTCTGATAAATTTACAATAAATAATAATTATAAAACTTTCTGACTGCATATTAATCTTAAAAATAACATTGTTTTAATTCTCATAAAATTTTCTATTTAATGATTCATTCTAGTCAACGAAGGAGTAATTTTGCAGAATAGCAGAAAAAATTCCCAACAAACTTTTTTTTTTTTTGTTTTAATTAGGCAATTGGTGGATTATTCCAAAAGCAACATCAACTCTTATTTCTTTAATTATATCATGATTAGTAGTTCTTTGATTTTAAAATATAATATTTGAATATATACTAATTATAATTATTAAATTTAGTATGAAATTGATATTTAATATTGTAATTTAAACGGAGAAATTATAAAAATAATAAAGAAGTTATATTTTGCTTTACTTTTACGTGTATAAAAATTTAAAGGGCTTGATACAATAATTTTCAATAAAAACTGTTTGTTACTATAAAAAAATGCACTGGACTACAAGGAACTTTCATCAGAAGCAAAAATATACTTTTCTAAATCAACTTTTCGCGTTGTTTTCAAATCTGCAAGTAGACTATTTCTATCACTTCTAATTTTTTATATTATTACTAATTATATATATAAAATAATAATTAAAAGAAAAAAAAATTTGTTTTCAAATTATTACTGATTTGATTTTTAATATGTTAAAAATAATCAGTCCAAATTTTCAATTTTAACCTATTTTTTTGGTTCTTTAAAGTTGATGAAAAATTTTTGATAAAGATTTATGAAAGTTTATAGTAAAATAAATTGAATATATTACCATAACTTTTAGCTCAATTACAAGTTTAAAATTGACATCTAGGCCAGTCAACAAAGGAAAAATTGCGGAAAAAATTTTGTTTTTTTAAAAGTTGAATTAAAATATGTATAATGACATACTAATAGTCCTCAAGATTGGAATTGAGCTTTTTTTTTAAATCCTCGCAAAAGTTCAAAAATATGAGCTTTCTTAATTTTCTCAAAAAAAAATATTTAACTTACAAAAAAAAGTTTCGCACAAAAGTTGTTTAAAAGACAATTATAAATAAAAATATAATCTTATATTTTTTCATTTAAACAAATATTTTTCGAGTTACATTACATTTAATATGAGTAATAAAATTTATATTCCATTTTTTTCATTTTACGGTTACTTTTTATCATGTTATACTTACATTAGACACAATGTTATAAATGCATATGTGTGTATGTGTGAGTTTATTTATTTATTGTATCATTAAAGTGTAGTGTATATTGAGATACAACCGATAGAGTAGGTAATTGATTTGACGCTATATTATTTAAACCCAACTAAACGCTAAATTGTACATTCCGAAATAACAATCATATTATGTCAATTGCCACCGGAATATCTGGTAATATTTTTCTTTTTCTTTGCCTTAATCCCAACTACTTGGGGTCGGGCACCCTTATCCTAAGATTCCACTTGACACGATCTCCCACATCTTCTACGCTCACATCAGCTGTCCTCAAATCGC